GAGTGTCCCACAAGAGTTTCCTACTAGAGTGTCCCACAAGAGTGTCCTACAAGAGTGTCATTTGGACATATGTAGCTTTTTGAACGTGTTTGCATTCGGGTTCGTGGGGTCCATCTTGCTCTTTTTCAGTGAATGCCAGTCACTGTTCCCACGTCCAACCCTTTGTTCCACTCTGAATTACATGAAACCACTCATAGGAGATGAATAACGACCCGTTGATTCCGTTGATTCACCCGAATGTTCAGACCGCTCCCAGCTGGACCGGCCCAGGTTTGGGACCAGTTCTTGTGTCGGGGCATGAAGTGGCTGAAGCCCAGTCGGAACGCATCGGAACGGAGACGTTTTGGGTCGACGGTGTGGCGAGGTGTCGAGGTGATGGGGGCAGCCCAGTGAAGCTGACCAGGTATGACCCCAGCATATCTTTCTGAATGTCCACGTGTTTCAGCAGGAAAGTGTCCACCTAAAATTAGTATAGCAACAAGATGCAACAAGTACCAAGAAGTTTTGCGAAGGGTTGACCAACAAAAACCATTCTGTTTCATGCATTGATCTTGCTTCAATCAACTGTCCGACTTGATGATCACCCATCAATCCTCATGTATGGCTGTATCAGCCATTGCTTCGGAACCTCTGACGCTGTTGAATTCTGGGGTGGGGGTTGACTCCTTGGCTTGCCGTCATATCCTTCCTTGAACCAGCCCGGTTCTAGCGACGTCACTTGATGCATATGTCAGCATGTGTACATGTGTATACAGTATTACAACATTACATAGTAGTGGATCACTGCAGCCACTGAGTTTTCGCACTTGATTAAGTGCTCTTGCTGTGAAGCAGGACTTCCGCCATGGCCGGGAGAAGGTGTGCCTGGCGCGCCGCCTGCGCCTGTGGTGCAGGGCTTTTGGCCTCGATCGGATGTACAGCTTTGCCTTTCGTTGACAGAATGACACGCTCAACACGTTCGCCATTCAGGACAGAGATCGAGGCCTAAGGCTGTTTCTTGCAGTTTCCTCTAAAAGGGCCGCGATTTGAGGGGTTTGTTTGGCACTTTTTACGAGCCCTCCCCCTAACTTATGAGCCTGTTTATACAGTGCAGGTTGTGCTTATGCTTGCGCATGCACCACCCTACTCTCCGGATCGGGACATTTTGCGTCATTCTAATCTTTGATGAATTTGTTGATAAATACAATCTGATTCAACTGGGTTGGATGATATTATATGTATATGATATAATTATGTTTAACTTATACGTCGTCTCGGATGGGCCTAGCGAACAAAATGGGTTCTCAGTCTGAGGACACGGCAAGGTGCATATGCTGAATTGCTGCACAAGGGCAACAGCATTCTGTCTGGAAAGAATAAGTGGCTGGGAGGCGTTGAAGGCTTGGACAAGAACATTTATTGCATTCCATGCAACAAGAACTCGGCGCTTGGGTCGCAAGCACGTTCCAGATCACCATAGAGCACCATAGACCAAAGATCACCCATAATGCTTTGCAGTATTTTAAAGTTAAGCTTCCATAAAAATGAGGAATCAAATCGTTAGTGCGAGCGCTATCCTGTGTCCATATGTAGTACTGTAGCTTCCTAATTTATCTGCGATAGAGTTCGCTACTCCCTGAATTAAGTAGGCGCCTGAATTAAGGAGGCAGGGCGGCGGCCACGGACCGAAAAGAGAACAGGATCCGATGTTCCAGGTACTCCAGATTTCCACCGACACGGGCGAGATTTCGACCTTTGGAAGTACTGCAGAGGGGCGCTTTAAATGGTCTCGCGGAGTGATGGCCAACGGAAAGATCTACGGAATCCCTGCTGCTGCTGAATCGGTTTTGAAGATTGTGCCCAGCAGCAAGGAAGTTGTGGCGGTGGGTTCTGTTCCCACTGGGACGTGGAAGTGGCACGGTGCTGCAGTCGCTCCTGATGGGTCTATCTACTGCATACCTGCTAACGCAGACAGCCTTTAGACTCAATCTGTGTTTGTCAGATGTGTTCATTTTTGCCTGTAAGGAAGAGCCTTCCAGCCAGGGCCAATCAATATCCATCAATCAATGTTTCACAAATTTTCTAGTCGGGCTTCAGTCATTGTGGCATGCCGGGTGATCGGCGCTGCCATCAGGAGTGCTACGGATTGATCCCAAGAGCGATCAGATTGAATTGGTGGGAGACTCTTTTCCTGGACGTTGGAAGTGGTACGGAGGCATCCTCGCAGGGGATGGATGTATCTATGGAATTCCCTACTGTGCAGCATCTGTGCTCAAGATCGACCCTGCAACAGGCCATCATTTTGGAACATGTGGGTCAGTATTTTATTTTACTAGCGAGACCCCCTGGCCCAATAGTGTCAAGTCAACTACAGTACAGAGCGGTTTCCGTGTTTTCCCACTGCCAGGCCAAGTCTCCACAATTGGTGAACTGCCAGACGGCCGCTGGAAGCTCGTACATATATATCAGAAGGGACTGAAGCACTAGTTAGTTTATAGGGAAGAAACTCAAGTTTCTCCTTCCACAGGTTTGTTTCAAGCCGAGAAACAAACTTTTTCCGCAGGAGTAAAAAGTTAGTTTCCAGCTGCAAAAACAATCATTTTCGAAGCCAAGGTAAAGCCGAATAATTCAAAAGACTGACAGCAGACAGAAAACTAAAGTTTTTATGGCGACAAACAAATGTTATTATCTAGAGTTTCTTTTTAAAGAGAGTGGCAGGCTGCGGGAGTGCACCTTTTTAGAAGATTGAATGTGATTGAAGATATGTATGCACTAGTTTTGTGGCTTATCAGCATCTAGTGTCAAGTTGCTTTTGAGTCTGGCCCTCTTGTGATGGCAGAGATAGAAGGTTTAAAAATGATCATTTCCTTTTATATGTCATTTTCCCTTTTGTGATTGATTCCCTTTCATTTGTTCATTAAAAATTGAACAGTTCCTTTCATTTTCCCTTTTAAACATGGTTCATTCCTTCCATATGTAATTTACCCTTTTTTGAATCCCTTTCAACCTGCAATTTGTATAATTTCCTTCAATTGTCCTTTTAAATATAACTATATAAGTGTTTTTGTTTTCCCTTTTAAGTTGATTACTGTAATACGGTTATTTTATTCTTAAAATGTAATATTTCCTGTTATTTTCCTTTTACAAATGATTAATTCCCTTCATTTTCCCTTTAAAATCTAGGCCTGTTGCTAATGAAAAGAACGTGAAATTCTGCACTCCCAGGAGCAGCCGTTCTGCTTTTAAACTACAAACAAAAAAGCGCCTGAGAAACATTCCCCCCACGGCAACTGAGATAACGCTTGTGACATCATGTCTTTTTGCGCCCAAGCTTGGGCAAGTTGCTTGTGTCAGTTGAAGCTGCAGGAAATGGCATGGGGGTTCCCTGGGAACTGATGGTGCTATCTATGGAATTCCTGCACATGCAGAGAGCGTTCTGACAATTCGACCTGAAACTGGAGAAGTGAAGTGCATAGGAGCGCTCAAACGCATAATTGTGGGGCTATGTCCAAGAAGTTTGAAGTTTGAATCGGAGTTTCATCCAGATTGTTAGATGTTCTCCTTATCTAGATTCATTAGCCTCCTGCAAACGATCATGTTCCAGATTCAGGATATGTATTCCCCAACTGCGAAGCCTGGGGGTCTTCAGCCATAGTACAGTAAAGACCAGATAGGAGCAGGTTCCGGTGCAAGTTCTGGTGTTCTGTTCTGGAGCAGGTTCCATCCCGGAGCTTCTGGAGCAGGTTCCAGAGTTTGGGAGTACTTTGCAGATATTCTAACATGCTGGTGTGTGAAATCTTGTATGGTGTGTGCGCCGTCATGTCGACACTAACCTGTTGTCGCTTTGTCGCTGTCAGACTAACCGACGTACATTTTTTGCATGTTATGTTGTCATGCTGACGCGCTGAGGTTTGTTGTTTGTCCGATATGCCGACATGGTGTCGTGATGGCGTCTTATATATTAATAAAGCTGCCACGTGGACATGAAGACACTAACCTGTGGCCACACTGATATGCTGAAATGATGTGACTCTGGCATGCTGTCACGCCGTCATGCTGACATGCTGTCAGGCTGATATGCTGAAGTCGGGTCATGCTGCCGAGCTGACATGCTGGCAGGTTACAGGGCTGATTCCGGCGCAGGTCCCTGGCCTGGTTTTTGCATGTTGCGGCGTTGTCACGCTTGTGCATGTGTGGACACATGTGATTTACCATATTTACCGACGCATTGCCGTGCTGTGATGCTCGCGTGGCGCTTTGAACACGTTCATGCATTTCAGAAAACTTTGCTTGGATAACACATGGCTTGTGGGTGAACTTGCGACATCTTGCGATCTTGCCGTTACTTGATAGGGAGATCCATGCTCAGCTGTAGGGGATGTTTCCTTTGTTTTTTTTACAATGCTATTTCTTGTTTCTACACTACATTACACATTTACAAAAATTGTGTGAGTGTGTGGACTGATTCATGTTTTAAAACAAAACAGACCTGGCCACTCCACTCCACACTACGCATCTCCCAGGAGGGCCGATCTTCGGCAAGTACAAATGGCTTGGAGCGGTTTTGGGATGCGATGGGTGCCTCTACGGGATCCCGTACAACGCGCCAAAGATCCTCAAGTGGCTCGGCTCCGAGGGAAGAACCGAATCACCAATACCAATAGGGTCTCAATAACTTTAGCGCTTTGAAGAACCTTGATATGCCTTGACGATTTCTCAACTTGGATGCAATGTCAGAAAGTCTTCACCGTTTCTTTTCTCACTAGCCATGTTCTAGCCAAGGTGTCAAAACATTATTCAGGCTAGGCATTCGCAGCTTCCCCTAGCCACAAGTGGATTCGTGCAGCTGAGGATTTCACCCTTCAATGAGGATGTGGACCTTGTAGATGTTCCGATCAAAGGTCCCAATATGTGGCAAGGCGCCACAAATCGTCCATTTTGTAATTTGTTCCTAGGCTGCTGGTGGCGGCAGAATGGTGTTATAGGGTGGCATAGCAGCCTGCTGTTGGGTGGCAGCCCTATTGTGACTTCGCTGACCTCACGTATTAGTAGGGTACCAATGCCAAGCATTCCAAAGCCCACCATCTCAATCCACGCCGGAGGTGGAGTTCGTGGCAATGATGGTGCACTTTATTTCATTCCGCGTAACTCGGATCAGTGCTGTTTCAAGCCAATTCGTGAAGCCCATGAAATCATGAATCACTCTTTTCGCCAAATCTAAAATTGTATTGGCCGGCAACCCCTCTAAGAGCTTGAAAACAGAATGCAAAATTGGCCTTCAACGGCCAACAGCCTTGTGTTTTAGTTTTTCCATCCACTGCTGAATGATATTGCACAGCCTAGGCCAGGCCAAGCAGGTGCTGCGTGTGTCTTCTGATGGTCAAAGCATAGCCGCAGTCCCTGGTGAGGAATTGCACGGCGTTTTGGCCACGCAATTAGAAATTAGGTGTGGTAATTTCGTCGGTTTTCCGACATGCTTGGGAATTCGGATTGTGGATGCTGGGGAGAAGGTCTTGATCGCAAGAGCATCGCCGCTTCATTAGGAAACGCTCGAAAGAGTATAAGAAGGGTGATTGAGCAATGAGTGTCAATTATATAGGATCTTGATGGCGGTTGTGGCAGTTTTGTGTGTATCCTCCTTGCCTTTGCAGGAACACCATGTTTACCAGGTGAGATTTGAATTGAATTTAAGAGATTGATGCTAGAGTGGCAATCAGTATCGATATTGCGGGCAAAAAGCCTTCAAAGGGTTGAGAAGTGACAGACCGCCTAGGCTGGAACAAATTTCAAGGTGCTGTTCTGGCCAGAGACGGGTGCATCTACGGAGTCCCGTTCCTTTGTTGCTATTTGGGGCAATATTTTTTGTATGCTCACATCATTCATACGGAGATTGAAACTCACAGAAAAACAAAGTGTTCAGTTGATTTGGCCATCTACATAGGTGCCTCTCAATCTAAGGCAAGATTTTGATGCTGTGCTCAAGATCCAACCAGATCGAACCTGACCCCAGAGATGGGTCCTGAATATTAAAAAAATCGTTCTGCTGGGAAAAGACCCTTTGCAAGCATTGCCATCACTTGGTGTGGCCAACAACTTCTACGTCGTCGCAACTTCTCGATTCACTCCGATGGTGAACTCTTTGGCCACCGATGTGTAACCACACCAAATCCGCGACAAAACGCAGGAAGGAGGCAATCTTACAGCAATCTTTCGAAGGAGGGGTCGGACTGAGGCAAACATGGCACGTGCAGCTTGATTCGCATGACGACCAGATGGGTGTCGGCAGAGACTACAGCCAAGGAGTGACATCACTGGTCATCCATCTGACCTTCGCTGACTCTTTTGCTGGGCCACTTGTGCCATCGGAGTGGCTGCCGCAAACAATGCATGCCGAGGAGAAAATGGCTAGCTTAAAATTTAATATCCCTTCTTAATATGAGTCCCCGAGAGTTCGTGCCTAAGAAAGAGTCTCTTTGCGTCCCAGGTTTATCCATCGAGTTGGCTTGGCACTGTTGAAGGAGGCCGGGTGTTGCTGGGTGGGTTGGATGGCCGGTGTTCCACATGCATCAAGGTGAAAATGGTGTTCCGCGAACACCGATTGAGTTGTACATTTGGCATTTTTTGTGGTTTCGATAAGAAAAGGGACCAATCTGATGGCTCTTCTTGTGGACAAATGGCAGCTTTCGTAAGTTCCATGGCAAATCGTGAGGATGCAGACCTCAAAATCAAAGATGCTCCTGATTTTGGAGGAAAAACATAAGACCAAACCATGGATTGAGTCGGGACGGTATTTCATGGTATTTCCGGAATATGGACTTGCATGGTAGTGCAGTGCAAATCGGCAGCTTCGTGTCACACAGTCCCAATCCTTGAGTCATTTGCTGACGACATCTCCAGCTTTGGTGCTTGTATCTACCTGCAAGGTGTTCCTTGGGTTTTTCCAGCCAGCACTGCAGCACTGCCGCTGCTTTTCGGCAAAATCTGTGTCCGAGGCACGAGCAGATCTTCTTGGCAAGGGCTTTGACGCAACGATTGAGAGGTGTGGAGCGCCCAAGTTCGTTGAGCCGCCGAAGCAGTTGTGCTGCGACTCAAATCACGTTTTGCCGATGGCAGGTTGCGCTGCTTGTGCCAGCGATCTCAGCTGTCCCCAGAGGCAGTTTCACACAGAGGAAGAGTGACAACAATTTGTTGGGTATGCAGTGCCGTGTGTGTGTATACTGTATATCAGTATATATATATAAATAGATTAATATAAACATACTTAAATCGATGTTGCTCGATGTGTATGAAAATAGCATTGAGGAGTGTTGTCATTTCTTGTCCATGTTAGTTAGTTGTATACTTGCTCAGGTATTTCGGGGTTCCGTTTGCATTTTCTTGCACGTACTTGAAGCCATGTGATCGAGTGACCAGTGGTTTTGCTGTATTGGTATTATAGTGGTGCAGATAGGCAGATACTGTATTTGCTATACTGCTGTTGAATCGTAGTGGTTCAACAAATGAATCACACTGCTTTGCGGATGTCTACATTGTTCATTGTTCTATGCTGCAAGGCGTTGGTTGCTTCAGCCATGGAGTTCAAGGCATGTCGCCGGTCAATACACCACGCGCAAAGGCTTTGTCACCAAACTCGTTATTGCTCTTCAAGAGTTGTATGGAGCACCCACATGGAGAACTGTGCCCTATGCTGCATATTGATGACGTGAGGCGCAACATAAGTGTGACTCCGCAAGATCACTGATGTTGAACCTGTATTGGATTCGCTGCATGCTTGCTCGTGATATATCGCAGCAAACATGTTTGTTTTCATTTGGGTTTTAAGATGCTCCAAGGATTGATTCATCTCACATGTATATATCTATTGTATTCTATTGTTATTGATGTGCCAAGGAAGGTTGACTACGTGTACTGCACATTGTCGCCAGGTCACCAATCGCTTCCTCAGTGACCTGGAACAAGCCATCACCTCTCCTTCCGGTGCTGCTCGCCTTCCTTCCTGCTTCTTAGAACGTGACCTGGACCGTTTGAGGCTCAGGCTTGAACATCATATTCAAATGTTCAAACAATTGCGATATTAGATGAACATCAATGTTTTTAGTTGTTTGTTTGCTACTGCATGATACTGCTTTGAATAATTTGGTTATTTTCTCTTTCTCACACTCGCGCGCTCTCACAAGCCATTTTGAGGTGGCCGAACGCAGTGCCGCTTCCTGCTCAACACAGATGGCCTGGCACACAGTTGGGAGGTTTGCAACAGCCAAACAGGTGGTTGCAGAGGTTCCGTCACAGAAGAAAACCAAAAGAAGAGGGACGTGAAGTGATCGTGTGTTCGCAAGCTTCCGAATGTAGCTGAAGTTGTTGACACCTTGGAAAATGGGCCAACTCGGTGTGCTTCAAATGTTGTGCAACTCTTCCAGGTGGCTCTGAAGCTCCTGTGCTCACAGGCCAAGACCTGACCTTCTGGGAGGCTGGGAGAGGGACTTTCTGCCTTGAAGAGTGGCTCAAAGCACAGCAAGAGCATTCTTCGATGCTTTCAGAATCTTGTACTATAAGAAAAACATTTGTACTATAAGTTTGAGTCCATTGCAATAATTGGACTAGCCTCTGAAAACCATTGGTGTTGTTCAGAGATTCGTGTGACTCATAGTTCATCTTTGTTGTGAGTCTCGTTTGGGTACTTTCTAATAATTGGTGCGTGAACACAGAAAGGTTATTTGTGCCTGTTCAGTCAAGTTGGTCAAGCAACGATTGCTAGCGTTGCTGCCACTTAGGCCCTTCTTTGCGACTTAACTGGTTGTATGGAAGAACAATGAACAACATGACCCCTCTCTCCAGGCGTCCTTGCCACCGCCACGCGTGCCTTCGGACCCTTTAACCCCGGGACTCTCACTAGAGCCTCCGGGTGACCCAAAGGAGAAGAGCAAGGCCGGGACATGGTTTCTCCATGTTTCTCCTAGGAACAAGAAGCTACTAGGGGCTACTAGTGGCTCCTGGCCTTACTACTAGTAACAATAAAGCAACTATGTTCTTTTTCTTTTAGGTTTTGAATAGGAGGTATTGAATTTGCACACGTTTTAATGAATGGGATTATAAACAGAAGGTATTGAAGATAAGGCCCTATATCAAGGGGCCTTACCTTTCTTTTATGTACTCTTGCTCTTGTTTCTAGACTTTCACTACTACTTTGTATTCACCAACAGTTGCCATGCTTTCAGCCCACTGTAGGAATACTGAATGAGAGTGGGAGAGAGAGGGCTTGTGAATAAGAGTAGAACGTGTTCTTCATTCATTCTGTGAAACTCCTTCAGGTTCACAGAATATTGCAGATTGACTTTTTGAGCTGCTTGTTTGGCAAGTCACCTCTTTGGGGTGATTTAGTGTAGAAAGAGGCCAAGTCGCAGCTCAAGCAGGGATTCTCAGAAACCGGTCTCAGGACGCTCTTGTCGTGTGAAATCGCCAGCGATTGCTGAGGACTCTGCGTTCCCAAGACGTGAAAGTAAGGCACTTGTTCCTAGTACTGTAGCTTATTGCTTGAATTTGCTTTTTGTTACTACTAGTAAAGCACTTGTTACTAGTAGCGATGCACTTGTTCCTAGAGCGTAGATGGCACAGACCCCAATGTCCGGTCCCATCTAAAAGACAATTGATGGGTTGTGCCATTTACTCTGAAACCACTGTAATCAATCTGAAGTTCTAAACATTTCTGGAGCTTGCCATTGCCGCATAGGTCCTTCGCAAGGAAGTCTCAGAAGGTCTTGAGCAAGGTCAAAACACCTGTCGGGACCCTAGAGAAGGAGCTCAACAGGCAGATTTTGGCCGCAACTGGTATGTGCATAATTTGTCAGGGCCCACACACTCCTGAACCACCGCAAGATGCTTGCTTCAGGATTCAGTTGATGATGCTCAGTACTGTAATTACTCCTGCCCTCAGAGCCACATCCATGAGGCCGGTTCCATCCAATCTTGAGGTAGTTACACCTGTCTCATATTTGTATGCAGACAGACAGGTCTTGTTTTGTGGTAGATCCCTTTCTAGGCCTACATCCTTCTGTGTCCAACTCATCCAAGGCTTGCCTTCCGCCAGGCTTTTTCCACAATAAGAGACCACTCTAGCCACTGAACACGCATGCCCCCCAAAACCTCAACCTGAAGCCCACTTGCCGCTCCCAGGTTGTGCTTAGTATGCGCAGCTCAGGCACAACACTTTGGGTAGACGTTTGCACCTGGCCTTTTTGAATTGCGTAGACAGGAGCACAAGACAGAATGCAGTCCGCCATGGCTTAGGGTTTAGGGGTGAATCATGATCTGGAGCTGTGGAACTGGAAGAGACATGCCAGGCAAGAGCGCAAAGCATGAGGCTGGACGTCTCAGAGAGGAACATACGGTCCAATAGCCACTGAACATCCGCTTTCCCCCTCTTCCAAGTTAGAATGACAATTGTGAGATTGATTAGTGGAAGTTGATCAAGTCGATCACCGAACATCGAATTTTGTATAGCCACCAGGCACATGTGCCTCGGAGCCGTCAAGTTCTACGTTGAGCCACCTTGCGATGTTCAACTGATGAGTACAGTATTAATGTATTGACTAAAGCGATTGTTTACATGGTTTTACACTATCTTCTATTGTACAACACCTTCTAGTGCAGTGGTAGCCTTGCCTCCTTAGGTTGCCCTCAGAGTATACGATTTGGGTTCACAAAATGCCTATATCAAGTCATGAGATACTTGGTGTGGAGACCTCCCAGGCAACGACCCACTGGAAGAGGGGAAAGGACGACCAGTCTAGTAGGCTACCCAGCCAGGGCCAGAAGTTATCCCGTTCTTATAATACACACGTGAATCATGTGAAGCTTGTAAACCCGCTGAACAGAGGCACCGGCGCAAAGCCTATCTGACTCAGAACGGAAGGACTGGATGTCCGAAGGATTCTCCGGGCCCAGTCATGTCCGAAAAGCATGTAGTCATAGGATGTCATAGGTGGTTCTGTCTCAACAGTTTGTCATAGGTGGTTCTCCAAGCTGTCATAGGTGGTGTGATTCAACAGTTGAGAAGTTCTGTGAGTGACTAGACCGAATGTATTCTTCAATCTCTGTGGTTCAATCAACTCAGTCAACCTGTCACTTTGACATGTTTGCAAACGTATTTTCCAAAAGGAGGTCATCACAAGAGTGACTTCAAGAGACTCTCTTTGCCTTATTCGCTGCTGTGACTTGCATCACTGGAATGATCTGCAGGAGAAATCTCATCACAGATCTTCATCAGTTCCTTCTCATCGCGGCTACCAGCGATGCGGCAGCATGGCAAAGTACTTTAAAGTTGTGTCAAGCAGATGTGCTTTAGCGGAATTGACATGCCTCACAGCAGTGACATCCTCAGAAGGGTCAACGACCCAACAAAAAGGAATCAAAGGGTCAGGGGTGTTTTTACATGTTTTTACAAGTGTTTTTACGCCCATTCAACATATTAGTAACAAGAAGCTATTAGTAACAAGTGCATCGCTACTAGTAACAAGTGCCTTACTAGTAGTAACAAGAAGCTATTAGAAACAAGCAAGGCAACGGGTCCAATGTGCGTGGTTTGTGACAGAGCCCCGTGTCGTCACTCGATTGCATCGATGACTGCCGATCAGCCAGGCGCAGCAGCAGCAGCAAGTGCCTGGGACGTGCGGATCCTGGACGTCCCCCCCAAAAGCCATCCAATCCATATTGAGGTGGTGGGGTGAAAGAAGAGGAAAGAGATGGAAAGAGTGCGATTTTGTTCATGTTTTTTCAATACTTCAGGAGGTAAACCAGCCAGAATTGCCTGCCAGGTACCAATGATACCTTCTCCATCTGCAAAGACAACTGCAAGGTCAGCACCCAGCATGTGGAACTATTGTGGGCAACGTCAGAACTTCTACGTAAGAAGTCAAAGGGTCTTTACGAGAAGAAGCTCCAACACAAAGTTCTGTAAAAAGTGCCCAGATGACCAACCAATTCAACCAGATGACCAGTCATTCCGATTCGCTGGTTTCTTCAGTGTAGCTAGCTCGCTTCCTGTCCACAAACACGCCACAAACATGCAGGCAGTGGATGCCATCCCTGCGATCTGGACGGAAGCAATCCCCAAATGGAAGGACGCTTTGACACGTGGGGCGGAAGTGATGCGGAAGGCGGGAGGAAGGCGGTAATGGTTAGCAATTCCTGTAATTTTACCTAAAGTAGATGCGACCTTTAAACAAATGCATCTGCATCTCCATATGTCTTCTCATGCAAACTGCAATAGACGCTGCTACTCAAGGCTTAACAGTTGCTTAACACCTCTAACATCAAATCCCAGTTGACAATGAGAACATAGCCTTGGGCAAATGGAACATATGAATTGAGCAAGCGTTTTGCAAAACCACTGGCGAACTAGGCAAACAGTCGCCTCAGAGTTCAGACTAAATCATTCCCTTGCTATCCAGGAGTTTTTGAAGCGTGTTGGAAACCTACCAGCAGATGCGACAGTGTGCAAACTTGCAACCTGGAATGGTGAGAGCAACTCACTTGCAAGAGACCAATATTCTCCAATTTTGAGATTGCTTAGTGTCCAGTCAGACCCGAGAATCGGGACACTGGCTGGTTGGTCAACACGACGAGGGCAATTAGCACAATGATGTTATTGGTGTGCAAAAACAGATACTATATCCCCACCCCCTTAACCATGGATTTGAGGAGGGGTCTTAGAAAAGTAACTTACAATTTCATACCCCCTGCCCCCTTCAACAAGGTAACTTACACCCCCTTCCAGGCCCAAAAGGCCCTGGTGCGTGAAGGGGGGAGGGAGTTTGAAGATGTAGCATGATTCGAAGACCAGGGATGGGGCCGTTACAACCAGCTCATGGGCCCCTATATGGGTTGGAGGGGTTGGACACTTGGAGTTTGCCAGGCTCTATTCACATTCTGTTTATCCACCCTCTGGCGCAGGGGAACAGAATTTGGATCAAAATGGCAGGAACAATCCCAAAGCATGACCCAGGTGAAACGAACACATGACCCAGGACACAATTACAATCACAACCCCGCAACCCCAAAACAGAACAAGCCCACCAAAGCACACACCAGGTGGAAAGATATGTTTTGAATTGTTTTGACATTTGAGGCCTGCAGGGAGCAACAATGGAAACATGTTGTAAAATACAAGAAACATCATGCTTTGAAAAAGATTGCAAGGCCCATGAACATACGCATTTGCAAGGCCTACACAGGCAATCAGGTCCAAATAGGTTACGCCATAATCGAGGATACAATCGTAATCATCCCCCACCCACGATACCACAACGAAACAAATCCACCAAAACACACACCAGACTTACGCATATCAAGCCTGGTAAGGACTACCTGAGTTTGCTTTGCGAAGCAAAGGGACTGGCTTGAGAGCCTGCTCGGGACTAAAGATTGGTAGATCAATGTCTAACACCCCCCCCCCCCCCCCCCCCC